ATCGAGAGTTGAATGTGTATATATATATATAGATAGTTGTTTACTTGGTCCACTGATTTCTTGGTAATAAATATATTTTGAGGGCACTGAGTTTAACTCCCTGCTTACCCAGTAAGGCTGCTAAGCAATTCTTAGTAATGCAATAATGTGTGTGACCAAATCTATCATACTCCTGGAAAATGTTCTGTAACTGCATTACTGTTCTACACATTTTCTGCACTGTGGTATACCATACTACAGTGATCAAAGACTAGAATGTAAATAATTTCTATTCTATACCGCAACTTGCCCTACACCCTTGTTACCAGGGTCAACGGGATGCATACACAAGTGTATGGTCCTTTAAATGAGTTAACATAATTTAATATTTTGCTGTCTTCATACCCTGAATTAATAGTATAATTCATTTATATGAGATAAACTGTTATTATGTCATTTTAAACCATCATCCTGCTAATCACTGCAAATAAAATGACTTCAGTTGTCATGACATACATACTGACCATCAACAACAGTACACTTCACCTTTTGCTGTGTAGTAATTTCTAGATCTGTGGCTGTCAGCATGTGATGTAACAAGCACTAAATCTGACAAAAGATAGCTGTACTTTTGTCAAATCTTCAAGAAAATTTATCAGCAAGGATCTTTCAGGACTTCCAAACCTAATACAGAACCTGAAACATCAATTCCCCACTGATATACAGTAACTCAGTATGCTAAGCTGTAACATACTCATGAATAAGGCATAATGTAGTCTTATGAATATTATTTAACAAATAACATTAATAAGAAATAACTATTTTGAACTTAGAAGACTTCTTATAAAAGCTGTCCACTGTGTTGTAATTGAGTATAATGCTGTTCTTGACCAAATATCCCATCCTACTCAGATATACAAGCTCTCAAGAAAGAGCAATGTGTTATGAAGTCTGTTCTGTAGTCGTTTACGCCATGTAGCATAATTTATATTATGCTTGGTTTAGAATTATCAAGTACCAAAAGCATTTTTCCTCCATTCTCTGTTACTGTCATAATTTTCATAGCACATATATACATAAGTTCAAAGCAATAAATACAACCACCGGGAAAGGTTAGCTCAAGCGGTACCACAGCTGACTTCATGTTAAGCAAATACCCAACCTAAATATTTTCCACAGCATTTGCTACCGTGTCAGTCTTTTCAATCTTCCTTAGTCTCTTTACGGGAATGCCAAGTTCGTATCTTCTGAGAAGTAATGCCATTCCTCCCACAAGAGAACAGTTACTGGCATGAAGATTTTAAAAAGAAAGTTAATAAAGACAATCAAGAGTGTCAAAGTACCAACCTTTATACATCTGTGTAAATCTCTTCAAGGTAATGAATTACATCACACTGTAACCATCTAAGAGCCAAGGGTTGAACACAGAGGCTCCTAGGCAAAAATCTGTTGAAACTGTTTCTCTTTGTACACTTTGATGTAGTCCGACATACTTGTAGCTTTGATTCTAAAGATGCCTGCTTCATGAAATACAGATAAAAACTGTCATTTTCGAAAACTTCTGTAGCTATACTGAACTCAATTCCAGACAACAGATGCATTGAGCAGTTACAATGTGATGCTATGGTGGTAAATAACAGCATATTGGCGAATGGGAACTACCCATCTAGTCAAGAAAGATGAATGCATTCCTGATGCAGGGGTCCACACATGGAAAATTATGTTCCATTGCTAGTGTGATCATGCTAATGACAGTGGGTCAAAGGGGCCTATAGCTTAATCCAGCAGAGAGGATGGGAGTATCTGGTATTCTTCACATCCCCAAGTTTTTTCTTTTATAGAGGTGAAGATTTCAATCTGAACAGAATCATTCTCATACGTGTAGATCCGAATGCATATCAAACTCACAATCCTCCAAAACAGTATTAAGACCCATCAGCACCAGGTCCCCTCTATACAACAGTTATTCTGCTGTTGCTACGAGGGAGAGTTATTAAACAGGTCACAAATGGATATAAAACGTAAAATATGTGATATTCGAACCTGGAATAAAACATTTATTTCTTGACATATCCTCCACAAACACTGATACACTTGCCCTATCGCTTTACCAGTGCGTCGAACCCGCACATAGAAGCTCTTTGACTGTTGTCTCAGCCACTTCCACACCTCTTTTTCAACCTCTTCATTATCAGTGAAACGTTGCCACCAAGGTGGGTTTTCAGAAGGCCAAACAGACAAGTGTCACTAAGGGACAAGTTCAGGTTGTAAGGCAAGAAGGCAAGGCATTAGTTCTTGAATTTTCTCTTTGAGTTGCTTGGGCTGTATCAGGTTTGGCATTGTCATGATGCAGTACCCTTCTTCCAGTTGGTTTGTACGTTTTCTGCCAATTGATTCCCAAAGCTTCAACATAGCTTCATAGTAAAATGGAGAATTCACATTTTCATCAGGCTTCTGAAAATGGGCTAACAGTACTCCATAAGAATCCCAAAACACAGTAAGCATTACCGTCCCAGCTGATGGTGTAACTGCTCTTTCATTGAACAAGACGGTGAGGATGTTTCCATTGCATTGGCATACGCTGTGATTCAGGTTCATAGTCATGCACCCATGACTTGTCCCCAGTAACAATCATGTTAAGCTATCTTCTCCATCATCATCATCATCATACCATTACAGATGTTGCAAGGACAGACACATTCAGTTCATTTTTTCTCAAACGTTTTCTGGGCACCAACCATGCACTTTCCAAAATTTCAAACGATCATGCATCACCCTTGTGCAGTTGCTACACTGTCTACGGTTATCCTCCTGTCAGCTCAAATCAACTCTTCCACCAGCTGCAGACTTTTGAATGTCCTTAAGAGAATTTCTCAATCCAGCTGTGCACACCTTTACACAGCAAAACACTTCCTACCATAAACAGGAAGTATCCCTTTATGAATACGCTTTGAATTAATATGAATATCCTTTTGCCCAAAAAAATTGCCCAACAGAATGGTCTTCGGCAGTTCACTCCTCAAACACGGTTGCCATTTTTACTACTGAAACCAGCTTCTTAACATCCGCATGCGTGTCTGCTACCGAGACCGTCTCTTCCTCTCTCTCTTATATTGACTGACAACCTTATAATGTGATAACTGTGCAATGACACAGCAGGAATACACAACTGGTAAATGAAAATATATATTCAAAAGACTGTCATAATTATTTAATTATATCACTAACAAATGTCTGAGTAACGTATGGGCTCTTTTGCTAATTCAAACATAATTTTATGGAAGCAACGATTACAGCGAAGTGCATTATGTAACAGATCTACAAATGCATAAGACAGTTTTATTATCTGACTGGAATCGGTAGCTTATTAACATGCAGGGATAAAAAAAAACAAGCATTCAGATTTTGATTCTTGCACTTCTTACAAAATGGCAATACACAGTGTGATGGGCTATACTGTGCAGAAAATAATGAAGAATAGTGAATTTTCCTGGAGTAAATACAAACTTAGCATGTTCATGCTTTGAGCTTTCATAACAGAGTAACGTTTTTTTAATTCACAGAGAAACATGAGAAAACTCTAAAAACAGGTTAGTCAGTAAATGATATGAAAGACCACACCAAAATAACCTTCAACTTAGTTTTGCAAGGGACAAATTCTATTTGAAAAAAAAAAAATAAAACACTTGGCAGCATCAGAGTACATAAAAATTAATACAACAGATCTCATGGGCATGAAGTTGGATCATAATATGTGAATGCCTGGGAACTTCATTCACACAGCAATTTATATTAACAGGCATTAAGAAGACAGCAAATCTGGAAACCATTATGCTACACAAGGTGTCTAACTGCAGGCTGTGTTGTAAAATGCTGAGGGCATGAAGAAGAAACCTCAAGCGTGGACCATCAGCATTCAAATCCTGACAGGTTTAACATTTTCTTCTTTCCTGCCACATCTAGAACTAATCTGGGCCCTACCCTTCTATCCTATCCCAAATATACAAAAGTATCTTCCCCTTTTGGTTAAATGGGCATAGCATGAACTACCTACATCTACTACCAGGTATAGAACATAGAAGAAAGAATAGTTTACAGCAAAATTCCACGTAACACGTGCATCTCACATAGTGCAATCAAACCCATTTACAACATTTCTGAATGATCACGCAAAAAATCTTACGGCCAAAGAATCTTATATTGGGAAAGACATTGTATTCAAATAAACATAAGCATCAAGAAAAACATTATCATCAAAGAATGTATTATACAAGAAAATTATTAACTTAATTTATAAAATCTACAGCTCTGATTTTATCAAATGCTTCTGGTAGGAGTCCAATAGTTTACACAAGTTCTCTATATGTTTTCCTTTCTTAACACAGCAGATAACCAAACATTCAAATCCTACTAAGCATGTGTTTACTGTGACCTACCCCAACACGTGACATTACTTTCAGTATGTCTCCTTTAACTTGAATCTTCAAGGCATTAATGCTGTTTGTCATATAAACAACATCCCCCACAGAATCCAAGCAAGCCTGCAGACTGTGACAACTGCAGAATCTGATCTGCAAACCCATTTGCATTTTTCAAGCATTTTAAATAAATATGCTACCAACTGCCGACTTAAAAATAAACTTGGGAATATACTGCAGATGTTGGAGAGGGTTTGTTTTCATTGAAGTCACATCAACACTTTCTGAAGTTGTTAAGTTTCAGACATTCTGATACATCCCATTGCTAAGAATATGAGAACTGGTAGTTAAAAAAACACGGGAACTTTGATACAGCTCATCACTAAGAGATTCCTGGTATTCTGATTATATTCCAAATGATATTGCATGTTGTCTTCAGATCATTCCCATGCAAATTATGCACAAGTGAACTGGAAAGCAAAGACATCTTAGGTGCAAACAGTATGAGTAAAGTAGTTACCACAGCTAAGGTAATGCTGACACCCAACAAGGTTACTTGTGCATTTTTGAGTTCATAATCAGGAAAAATAAATAAGAAAACAAAACTGTTTATCAGATATAATTTTGAACAAGTACAACAAAAGCAATAATTTATTACATTCTGACTTTTCAGAACAATCTTTTCCTATAAATACAATATTCAAAAGACAATGTGGATCATTATCAAATTTTATTCAAAATTAAGAAAATGTGGACAGTGTCAATTTTTGAAAATGGATAAAATCTCCCTAAATAAGAAATTGTACCACTTGCAACATTACCACTAGTAAGTAAGATATATACTGTTACAATATTAAGTTATAATTTCTGAGAGTATAACATCAAAACATACTTTCTTCTCTAACCTGTACTTTCTGTAATTCTCATTCAGTCCTGCAGCGCTTGTTTTCATTAACACAAAGCCATAATAATAAGCATATTCATATACCACTCTTAAAAATTAATATCAAGTACTTGACATACAGACAGAACACTTTTTGCGGATTGGTGAGAAGGCAAAACAATTTTACTAATTAGATACAATATCACGCAAGCAGACCTGTTAAATATTTAGATTTACAATGTACTCTTGTGAAAACCAGGACTCAGCACTGAGCCTCAATTACCTACAAAACTGCATATTACTCAAGTATGCTCCTGATTATAAGCACATACCCTTTTGGCATGTTTTCAGTATTTCCTATATATATATAGTGATAAAACTAAAACAAATTTTTAATTTAACTAAATGTGATATACTTAGAGCCACTATTTTATTGTAACACACACAAATACATATTATTTATACAAACACCAAAACAGATCTGAGAAGTATTAAACTAGCAGCAACAATGCATACAATGTACACTTTTTACACATTTTCGATAAATAAATTTAACGTACTACCAAATCCAGAGACAATATGTGAAATTTGCATTCAGTTACTCTAACACATTCATTCAACAACATTTAAGGGATGCTTCTAGTATAACACTTGCAAACTTCAAGACCCACGTCCTTTATACAACACCCATTTCTTAAGATCTACATGACGGAGCTCATTTTAATTATGAATTAAACGCAATAAAAGAATGGACAATCCGGAAAACGGCTGTTTCAATACATTTAACAAAATGTACAAAAACACTGAATGGGATCATTGTTAATGAAAAGACAGCCTATTCTATATATTTAGAACATTTATTTTACTTCAATCAGGAGAAACAGACAGTTACAATAGTTCTTATAATTACGGAATGACAGACTTTTTAACTGTTACTCTGTACACCTCCATACAACACAGATTCATGAAAGAAAGCACTCTGTAGTTATATCCACTGGCAAAGATAAAGTAAACAAGATATAAATATTATACATAAAAAGCATTCAGACTGTGCAAACTCCCCCCCCCCCAAAATTGAATCTTAAATCTCCAAGAATGGTTCCTAAGTCACAAAAAGAAAGTTGTGTGTATATTATTTATATATATATGTATACTATGTATATTATTTTACATATGTGAAATGCTTAGAAATATCAACTTTTCTTACTAAATACAATTCAATAACCATACAATTTGGATGATGATCTTCAAACTGACATAAATTATGGAGTTATTCCAGTAGAAAGCACACCTCCCCCACCAGCATGATTTGCTCCAGATACAACTACAGACACACTTTGGAATAATAATGACACTAGAGCTAAAATTTGGTGCACAACTGCCTTCACTGCTACAAGTAACACTCCAGACCAAATCCTCCTCTCAGTTCATTATAAGTGGTAATCCAGTTACTCTTTGGACCGAATTCTATTTATGAAAATCTTTACACAGTTTGCTTAAATATCTGGAAAACCATGCCCCCTCTCACTTCTTGTATGACACTTCAGTATGGGCAACTGTTGCATCAGTTGTAAATCTGCAACAAAAATTTGCATAAAACGGGAACCGAGCACAAGGCAGACATGATACCAATCAAATAAATTCTTGTTATTACAAAAGAAAACATTCTCTTTGGTCCAGAAAACAAAATGGTAAGTCAATTGTCCATAATAACAAAATTTTGAACTCTGAATATATATAGTTATTCTCTGATAGCAAGAAAGACAGATCCTCAAGTCACTTTAAATGTATGGTGTACACTTTTAAACTTTGGTAGCATGTAACTATGACATTATGAATAATTTTGGAAAAGTGAAACAAAACTGTATGGAAGTCAAACTTTGGTAGCATGTAACTATGACATTATTAATAATTTTGGAAAAGTGAAACAAAACTGTATGGAAGTCAAACTTTGGTAGCATGTAACTATGACATTATGAATAATTTTGGAAAAGTGAAACAAAACTGTATGGAAGTCAGTATTATAACAATGTGCATCAAATATATACCACCACAATGGTAGCATCAGATGGCAGAACGAGTGAGACACGTTTACCATTATTACTACAAAGCATATGTAAGTAAAAGTATTGATGCACAAATAGTTCTAATAGCTGAAGTGTCTCAAATACCTCAGACAAGCCTGGTTCAAGCCTGATCACAAAATATTAAACTTATCACCAAAACAAACGTGTGAAGCCCCCAGGACAAGTTACATGTGCCTGTTTTCCATTATTTAAGAAGCATATTAATTTTTAAACATCTGAAAGACAGCAGCTAGCATCGATTTTGATGAACTTTTGATTGTTATATGACACTGTATTGTATTCATATATGAGGTCAGACAATAAAGGTCACAAACTCACATTGTGCTTGCAGTGGGAGCAGTGGACAGAAACCTCAATATGGTTTGATGATGTTGGCATATCAGCATCAACCAAGTTTACTGTTTGGAAGTACTGAAAAGCTGAATGAAAAAGTTAGATAGAAACCACCTGAACTTTCTGCCAACAATTCATGGATCTTGCATCATGAGAATGCACCTGCTCACATGGCACTGTCTGTGACGGAGATTTTAGCTAGTAAACAATAACTGTGCTGGAACACCCTCCCTATTCACTGGACCCAGCCCCCAGTGCCTTTTCTCTGTTCCCAAAGATGAAGGAAATATTGAAAGGAAGGCATTTAGATGACATTAGGAGTAATATGATGGCAATTCCACAAAACCAGTTCCAAAATTGTTTTGAAGGGTGAACTAGGCACTAGCATCGGTGCAGAGCTTCCCAGGGGGAGTACTTTGAAGGCGCCCACAGTGATATTCAGCAATAAGGTATACAGCACTTCCACCGTGATGAATTCGTGAACTTTATTGCCAGACCATTTATGTGGATATAAGGAATGAACTGTGGACAAACATATGTTGATCGATTTAAAATGTTCTAATACTTTACTATGTTTTCATTCAAAAACAAAAACAGCCAGTAAGTGTTCATATTCTACACTGCAACAATGCAAGAACTATTTAATTCAAATAAAGAAATAACAACAAAAAATTGCAATGCTTTTTTCTTCATGTTAAGTTTAACTAGTGATCAGACACAAATAACTACAGCTTTGTGTGAAACCAAATATTTTACCATGTGGTGAGCGGCACTATCCGGGCATAAAAGAGTTTTAGACAAAGACACCAAAGTTGTTTCCATGAACCACCTTTCCTCACCAAACAAGTGGCAAGTTTATGGTTATTTTCTACTGCAGGGAGTGTAGTGACATCAAGAAGAAAACTTACTTTCAACTAGTGTGAATGGCTTGTTCTCTTGAAGTCAAGGATATACAAAACATCATAAAAGCATTCCTATTTGTGTGGTTGTACTACTAAGAGTGCATTATTTATCTTATGATTTTTAAAACGCCAATTATGACAGGAATCATTTCTCAAGCCGACACTTCAATATCTGGCAAGAGTCATCTTATATGAATCTTTTATCATTCATAAAAATGAAGTTTTACATCCAGTACTCAATATATACACTATTTACGTTACACAAAATTCAGTATAGTATTGATTTATAATTTCATGTTTCACAGACTACAAATGAGTTGGAAGTTCAAAGAATAAGCCAAAGTTCAAAATCATATTCAGAATGATAACTGATGTCATCTGCATTTGAAAATTTCTAAGTTCACACATCCCTTGTATGAAGCTTTTATCATGCCTCGCTAACGACTGTAGTTTCAATCATCTGACAAAACTCCGCAAGCCAATTCAAATGACCTGACTCACATTAGTACTAGTTTCAGCAGCATCCAGATTTGGTTGTCTCTATTGGTTGTCCTTGGTCTATCTTAACTTTCTGAGCTGTTTCTGCTGCAGATGAAGGTGGTCCCACTCTGTTCTTGATTTCAGCAGCCATTGTCATGAATGCCTGTTCTACATTTGTTGCATTCTTAGCTGACGTCTCCAAAAATGGGATTCCAAGTTGGTCAGCATACTCCTAGAATCATTACAACCAGTACTATCAATTCTTCACCTACTACCATTAAAATTACCATGCACATGCATGCAGGTAACATTTACAAAATAAATTAATACTGCCACGAATTTAGGGGTGTGACCATAGACAGGGTATGGACTGGACACTGAATTTATCGACCACTTCACTTGTATGCACCACTTAAACCTACATTTTACAGATCACTGACAGAGAGTAGTTTTCTCAGTCTATTATAGTCTCCACTAGCCATTTTCTGGAAACAGATTTAACACAGGAACTGTAACAGCCTCACTGAATTACACACTCCAAATACCACACATGAAGTCTTCTTTTCACAGCAGCACTCTTGCAACTATCACTTCTCTTCACAGCCTCCCGTACAGAACTCCACTGAACTGCCAACCCTGAAGTAACTGGGAACCAGGCTGGTGGTCATTTCACACCTCCTAGTCTTCTTTTCACAGGCTGACTTTCAACTAACAAGTGAACTCTCTGACTCACCAACCACCTACCTACTTCACTCAACTGACCTGTACCACCAATTGTCTTCAAGATAACTCCTTGGCAGAGTCCACATAGAAAACAGAACACCTCTATTGCTGCCTGTAGAGGATAGTTTACTACACCGCTGTATGGCAGAAACAGTCACGGTGCGAACCACACAGAAAACACTGTTCTTCTATTGTTGGGTTGTGTGTTATGTTGTGGGCATTATTCAGAAATGACTGCTGATTACAGTGTCACTGCTTAGCAATATAAACTAAAGAAGGTGTTTCAGAATTCAAGAATTTAAAGTCATACACTTTTTATGTTCTCAAAACATGTAAACAAAGTCAGCATTTAATTTGTTTCATTCTGGTCCATCAAACTAACAATATTATAAAAAGTTAAACAGTTCGTCCAGTGTGACTGGTGAAGATTTTTCTTATTTCAATTCTTCATGCCCTTACATGTTTCAGTGTATATCCATCAAAACAATTCACACTATAGGTAAACTAATAAATGAAAAACAAGAAACAAACTCCTATGAACAAAGTGGGATATACAAAATAATCTGCCAAAGCTGCCATAAAGTATACATTGGCCAAACTGGTAGAAATCTAACAAGGTACAAGGAACACATAAGAAACGTAAGACTAAACAAAGATGAATCGGCATTTGCCCAACATATACTAAACACACCCCACCAGTACGGACTGATGACAGTAATCATGGAAATGGTTGAGAAAGCCAAAAAAGGTAGCATCATGAATATAAAAGAAAACTTCCACATACATATATATATATATATCTTTAATAAGCTCAACAAATTGATAGAACAAAAACACACAAAGGAAAGTAATAACCAGCGTAACATGTTTGACCTCATAATACATCATCAGTACACAACCACACTAACGTCATAGACACAAGTAGTATAAATATGCAGCACAACACACCCTAGAACAGTAAAAACAACACAGCACACCATGAACACCCACAGGACGACATCAAAGGTAGGACGAAACAACAAAAGCTCTTAAAAAAACATAATAGGGTTGCTGAAATAATAAAATATACACATAATATATTTGCAGAACCCTCTTCTCAAGAACAAGGCAGCACATGTTCAGCCCCTGTCAAGAGAAGTAATAAGAAAGAGGACATGAACCTACTTGGTTTATAAATTCTAACAAAATCTCAACAAACCAACTACAAAAAATTGTAATATATTAAGACAGCCTCTGTAGTTGTAAAAACTTTAAATTTTATATCCAATCCTATACTATCAACATTATATGTATATTTTAACACTCAGAACATATATTGTAACAGTAGCTTCCAACTGTACTGATGTCCCTCTGATGATGGTCTCTAAAGACCGAAAAATGCAAGGGCATGAAGAATTCAAATAAGAAAAATCTTCACCAGTCACACTGTACGGAACTGTTTAATAAAATCAACATTCTTTGCAACTGGGCCACAGAAGTTAACAGCACACATCAGCTAAGGAACTTATTATTCGCCTGCCCAACTATGGAAAAGTAATAACGGTTTTGCAACAAGAAACAATGTTATCACATAAAACATACATTTTATCACTTACATCTGTAATTATTGTATTATAAAAATAACAAATCAATGGTGCTAATATACTTTCAAGGTATTGTGATCCAGCAATTCAATCAATGGTTGGATTGTGGCATTTAAGCCTTGACACGAATACCTATGAATGAAACTCAAACACAATAATACTCATTTAACAGAAATACCATACTACAGTTTCATAAAAATGTGATGATGTGTGTGAAGAATTTGCACTTGTTAATTATATTAGAAGAGCTGTATATCTAACTTCTGTCAAAATCTAAATCCTTGAAAGGTACACACAAGTTCAAGTTCAATGGTGACCAGAAATAAAAAAAATGGATCTAAATGGCATGACATAATTCAAAGAAGTCTTTGATACAAACTTATCTAACCTCAGGTTGTTTGAATGCTCATACCCGAGATAAGTCGGGATTTAAAATATACTTTCCAAATGCATGTAAAGCCCAGTAACATAATATAAAATTCATGCAATGTCAAGCTATACCTATGTAACTACATATACAACAAGGCTATTTTACAAAATGAGTTTACTTCAGAAAAACATTTTCACTGGAAAGATACAAATGCCAATATGACTGAAATACCATAATTACACGAAAATATCACGTGCTGACTTAGAAACCAACAAACTGAAGCTATCATTATCTCTCACAATTTAAGCCTCAATTATAAAGACTAGTGAATAGTGGTGAGTGTTCGTAGCCTGCTGCATGGTACTCTCCTGAAGTGTGTCAAACAGGGCCAAGGAAAAGCACAGAAAACATCAATGTGTTCTCCAATAAGGATAGAATATTTTACAACTCTTGAGATGTGTAATACAGTTCAGTTACTAGAAATACAATTATTTTCATTACCTGTCCAATATAAATGCTTCCTTAAGAACAGATTTTTGTAACCTGCCTTATATAATTCTCATACAATTACTGTATTGCCACATTACATTTAAGCTATTAAATTCACCAAAACTTTGTACAGCAACTGAAATTTATGACTACCACCATATCAGCATATTCAGCAAATATGATACATTATATTGAGGAGCTGGGATAGTGACTAGCAACGGGCTGGACGACAGAGGGGTAACAGTTCCAAGTTCCAAAAGGGTCAAGAATTTTCTCTTCTCCACATCATCCAGGCCACCTCTAGGGTCCACCCAACCTCCTATCCAACTATCCAATAGGTACTGGGGATCATTCCCTGGGGGTAGAACAGCCAGGGCATGAAACTGACCACTCACCTTCAGCTACTGCCAAGGCCAAGAAAATGTGATCTATATATCCACTCCCCCCTACATCTTCATGACATAGTGCTTAATCAGTTAAGCACAGGGACAACTTTACTTTAATACATTATATTGAATTCAGATGGTATACAACACTACGTAGGAATGGACATTTTCTCCAAATTAATTGTGCTCTGCAGTAACAGTCTTACTCACCTTTGCGGTTGTATAATCGACAACCTTTTTGGTTGTGAGATCACATTTGTTTCCTACCAACAGTTTATTTACATTGTCACATGCGTAACGATCAATTTCTTCTAACCACTGCTTAACATTGATGAAAGATTCTTCATCTGTGCAGTCATACACCACAATAATACCATGTGCACCTCTGTAGTAACTTGATGTAATTGTTCGGAACCGTTCCTGTCCAGCAGTGTCCCACTGAAAGTCAAACCAAAAACATCAATATGCCTGATAATTTAACATCCAAATGGTGCACAGAAGTACACCATTTTTGTTAAAACAATTAAGCTGCACCCAGGGTACTACGTGGGGAAACTATGCCTGTCAACTACAAAGAAATCAAGATTAACTGAGAAGAGAGGGTTCGAACCAGCAGTTCAGTGGAAGCAGTTTCTCTCATGGGCAAATACACCTACATCAGAGTACATTAACAAGAGTTGTTCTGCCTAATGCAGTGGTTTCCAGATTTCTTCAGGCCACTAACCCTTGGTTCCATATACAAATCACAAGTGCCCCTTGATCTACACTACAAAAAGCATTCTTCAGAACAGCAGTTACACAACCCACTAACAGAAATGACAAAAGAAGATTCCACATTTAGTAACTACTTCACTGTCAGTCTATTCTTAATGCAATGGACAGGCCTGATGAAATGATACCAGTTTCTCCAATGTCTGGTCAAAAGTCCCTTCTATAAAAAATAAGCAAACACGCTCAGAGGGGCCCACCTGAAGCACCCCCCTCACCCCCTAGGAAGCAGTTCAGGCCACTTTAGGAACCACTGGCCTAATGGGTGAAGTTGGACATACACACAGGTTTTACACAAATGGCAAAAGGTACAATATACTAATGAGTGTAATTTAAATATAATAACAGCATATGTGAAGAATAAAAGCAGACAGACATCTGATATCTATATTTGTCTGCAAAATCACTTGGAACAGTTTATCTTGCAAAAAATGACCTGAAAACACTCCCATAAATGACGACCAACATCACACTTCCAGCAGTATAGAATTTAACTTGTTCACTGTCTGCCTCTGTACATACTGCAAGTTATCTGAGAAAGGCCTCACTTCAATTTATGGTGCCAAAATTATGTACAAAGAATGATCCCTTCTGTTTCTGATATTCTTATAGCACATCACTACGCACACATTTAAAACAATCCTAAAGAATAGTTACAGCATAATTTTTTTTACTGTTTTTGGCATAAATATGAGAATTCACTACTGCCAAATACTTTCCATTGTACTGTACAAGGGAGTAGGTAAACAGGTCACAAATGGAAGTAAAACAGCTGTAATGGACATGATAGGTTTTCAGTATGTATCACTAGGCAGCAGCACAGTCCAGCTTCATTATGGTCTAGGTAGCAAGAGCACGCGCGTGTTCACGGGCTGGTTTCAGTAGTCCAAATGGCAAATGTGCTTGAAGACTGTACTACCTGAGCAGTGTCTTTTATTGGCAAAAGGACTCAATGCAAAGCATATCCATAAAGGAATGATTCCTGCTTATGGTAGTGTTTGTCACATAAAGCAATTCACAGCTGGATCAGCATATTATCTCAAAGACATTCAAAAGTGACAGATGATGCCCAACCAGGTCCCCCTGTTAAGAATGCGACAGAAGCAATTGTGCAGCGGGCACTGAGTTGATTTGAACTGACAGGAGGATAACAGCAGACAGTGCAGCAACTGTATTAGGGTGTTCCAGTGGTTTAGTATACATCATGACACACAATCATTCAAAGTTTTCCAAAAGTGCACGCACAGAAGATGCCCAGAGAACTGAAGGGTCTGTCCTTGCAACATCTCTTACAGTATCCAGAGGAAGGAGATGACATGCTTAACAGGATTGTTACTGGGGACAAATCATGCATGCATGAACTACCTACCCAAATCAAAGTGGGCTTCAATCCAATGGAAACGTCGCAGTTCACATTCTCATTCATCCAAAAAGTTTAAGGTTACGCCATCAGCTGGGAAGGTTACGCTTACTGTGCTTTGGGATTCTCAGGCAGTATTGTTAGCCCATTTTCAAAAGCATGCTGAAAATGTGACTTCTTCATTGTACTGTGAAGTTCTGGTGAAGCTTCAAATGCAATTTGCAGAAAATGTACATGCCAACTGGAACACGGGTACTGCTTCATCATAACAATGCCACACCCCATACGGCCAGAACAACCCAGGAGAGAATTCAAAAGCTGTCCAATTAGAACAGGAAGTCCCACTTGCATTGCTCTTCAAACATATTATCAGCTTAAAAATGTACCTCTCCTTCACCAACTAAGCAAATAATCATATACAGATACTTACAATTTGGAGTTTTATCGTCTTTCCATCCAAATCAATAGTTCGTATTTTCTGAAACAAAGACTCACAGTCACAACCCACATATATAATACATGGCTACAGGTATGGTATGTTGAAAATGTTTCTGTAGAAGATGGCTTAGTCCACATTAAGTCATCATGTTATCTGTGGAGGATAATGATGGAACACTTGAACTGATAATTTAATATCACTCATCTAACATTATACAACACCAGGTCATTAAAATTTTCTTTTTTACATTCTATCCAACTTTTACTGGAAAAACTCAATGTTTACTATGTGCTTCTAGTCCATTTCCACAATTCTTGTGGTTTTAACTTCACAAGTACTGCCTGTGACTGTTCTGGAATTGAGATGTAAGATCTGCTAGCCTTCAGTGTCAATGTAAGTCTTGGGGAAAAAAAATCATATGGAGTACTGTGCGTGTCTCTGCAGTTCTTCTTGAGGGCCCTGAAATAAATACTGACTTAACTGTGTTTTCTCTTGTCAGTCAGCAAACAAGGAACAATTCTGCAACAATCCACAACATGTTCAGTTTTGTGTCAAAACGCTCTGGCATGATTCAAATGACACTTCCACCTCAATGGCCAAGTTGCAGCTAGTCAGTCTGTTTTCATGAACAAGTTCCTTGACACACATATTTTCATCTGTTTTGCTGAGGGACAGACTATAAGCATCCTTAACTGCCACTCCAATTTTTTTTGGCTTGGAAAGCCAACTAAATATTAGTTTGCCTTGATATTTCCTCTTGAAATCATCACAGAAATTTGTACCAGTTTTATCTAGTATGAATCAAAACTAATGTTCATGCATGTTCTTTGAAATTGCAGAAAGCACAACACACAACCTCATTTCACAAGATATTATTTCTGAATGACAACAATGGCAAACAAATCAGCACATTTTATTTTACCCCAATCTAATAGAGGAATTGTGTCATAAGTGCAGTACTGTCCAGAAACTAACTGACCACACCACATAACACTGTTAATTTACAGACACTGTTAATTTACTGACAGCTGTCGATATAAGAAACAATGAATGGAAATATATACCACTTTAATAGTAAGTTCAAGAATTCACCCGAAAGTCTGAGAAAACTGAGTTTGCATAACCTGCTGTAGGATTCTATCCAGTATCCACAAGAATGTAAGGCATTCACCCTGCAGAACAAATTCCCTCCTAATCGTACTGCACCGATGAAAATCTACTTCTCTATCATGTCCCAACATATATTTTTAAACAATTCCATCCAGCATTCTGAAATTTAACTGTTAACGTCACTTTGCACTTCTTAGTCAAAACATGACATCTTTCTTCCTCAAGAGAGCATCCATTCTTGTCATTTACAATGTTCACAGAAAGTTTACTTTAATTAGTAAATTTTAACTTGCACATTCAAAAAAAAAAAGTTGTATAAGATGCACATCTCCAGGGATGTGATGCTGAGAGATATGTAGAAGTTTATCAACATTTTTGATGATGCTCGACTGGCTTACTCTTTAACCTTTAATATGCAAGATATAGGTGATGTTCTTCTGATATGGCAGTAAACTTGTGTAAGACTACACTGTCATTCCCAGGCAAGCAACAAGATCTTCAAACCTGAATATGAACATGAATTCCTCTAAACTGTCAGTAAACTTCTACCAAACTAAACAACACCACAATGCAGAAGACAGTAAATACCCTTCCAAGTCACTGCTGTGAGAACTTCAAATCTAATACATGTACAAGATATAGATACAACTTGGTTTGGTAAGTCTTCTTAATATTCGTAACTGATCCATTGTTTTTATACTATGACTTTCCTTGAGCAACAAGACACCATAGCTGTCATTTACCAGTATGTTAACTCTTTTCTTCTTTTCAAGCAGTTTATTAGAACAGCACAATACATTTACAATATGAACAGTGCAGTGCAAAATATGGAAAAGCTGCATTCAGACTCAAATCATGACATCCAAAACACATCTAAGAAAGAACAGTGACAGCAAGAAAGTTATTATAATCTCACATCTTTACAGTATCAATCTTAGGAGAAATGAACAGATTCACACCATTAACAATCCCTGTTTAAGGGGAACAACCACACTGTAAAACGATACAAAGCATGAAAAAGCTGATAGCTTCCTCACTCTAAATATACTTCATACTGACTGATTCCAAATACTTACAAAGTCCACTCCAATTGTACTGATGTAACTCTCTGTGTATGTGTCATCCTGCAACAAACAAAATCTCACATCAATATCCAGACATAAGGAAGTCACAAGTGTAGACAGCCAAGGAAAGCCAAACCAAGCCAAGCCTTTGCTTTCTTCATACTGGTCACTTAACTTCTGGAAGAAATTGAATTAAAATATCTTGAATATACCACATTTATGTCCTGTCTTCTAATGCTCTGAAGACTAGTGACAGCTCACAAGTGACAGCTCACAAGATTAAGTATCAAACAGGTTACAGGTGTGACCCTGACCACTGCCCCTAATCTCCAAAATAAAATAAAATAAAAATATGTCACCATAACAACAAGGGGACCAAGCCACCCCACCTCTCCTCATGGCAGTCCCATGAAGCAACAGATTGGGATGGCTGACAAGTGACGGTGCCCTAAAGTAAAGTGTGAGCTACTGTGCCAAGGCTTGAACAGCACTGAGGAAGCAATGTGGTGAACAGTGCCCTTGAGATATAAGGTGACATCCCATTGTAAGCTAGCCTTCCCCCACATGCCAGGCCATGTGGGGGTGGGCAAATTTCCCTGCAGCAGCCAAAACCTCTCAGGGACTCTAATGATGGTCAAATGAGTGCAAGGCTTTCTGTCTGAGGCAGGGCAAACATCTTAACCACCAAAAAGTGGACTCTGATTGGCCAGCAGAAGCAGCAGCCAAGAGGATGAAGGCTCCCCCTCAAAAAAGAGAGAGAGAGAGAGACCTCAGCTGCGACTTGGTTACAGATCAAGTGGGGGCGTCAGCCGTCCCTATCAGTGACTGACAACTGATGGCTGTATACTTTCCACCACCAGTAATCCAAGAGGAAATGATCCTCTTGGACCAAGGGGCAAAATTATTAGCCCTGTTCTGAAGAAGCAGCCATTAGCTCTCAAGGGCTTTCATAATGGGCCTATATGGGTAAAACTAAATTAAGTGTCTTGATGGGGGAGAACAGACTGTCCATCAAGAGGAAATGTCTGACCAGCAGAAGAGGTCTGTTTGAGGGAAACAGGGTTTGGCTAGGGCCCTGGTGTGGGTTCAGCTGGGACCAGCAGTGGGGGCTCTCATGTCCCTGCTGGTCAATGACAGGAGGATTTCTTGCTGCCAGAAGTCCAAAAGATGATGGCATTACATCAGTGTCCAGCTTGGTTGGACATGCAACTACGACCTTTAGTTCTGCAAGTGTGGAGCCAATGGATATTAAGGGAGCTTTAATCTGCAGGGATTTGGCTCTAGATAAGTTGAGGCCCTTAAGGAACCCAAGCAATGCTAGTTGAGCACAATGGACCCCATAGAGGTCCAAGTGCTCAAGAGGGGCCTTGAAGTTGTTACCCCTACGTCAATAAAATACAATGACAACAAATATTAAAGACATGAGTACAGCCAACTTCCTAAATGTTGCATTTTTCATACATAGTTTAGAAAATGGCTACCTAACAATTATGGTATAATGAATCAACCACCACTACAAATGCGATGTAATGTAACAATCAGTGAATCAGCACTTTGCATATAGTAGTATTTACAACAGCAAAGTGAATAAACCTCAAAACTTTATACTGGACAAATAGGTAGCCAATTCTAAAATATACGCACTCTGTTCATTATGAATATGTAGAAAATGAGAATACTTATTAACTATACTTACTGCAAATCTAAGCAAGAGACAAGACTTTCCAACTCCTGAGTCACCAATCAACAGCAATTTGAACAGGTAATCACTAAAACAGAGTAAAGTTCATAAGCTACTGACAAAAAGGTATGAACTGCAGACACTACAAATGTGACCACTTCAGAGGCCATATAGGGGTACCACTTAAAAAACCTAACTCAAAATACAACAGTATAAGCAAGCTTACTGATTACATCAACATAATACAATGATATGGTAGTTTTTGTTTATTATCGAGTCACCCCTCTTCCTCACATTTCGGCCATATATGGCCATCATCACATGTCTATCTTGCTAAAATTGTTGCACTGTATGTCAAAATTACATATCAGGTATGAACACATTATTTCCTAATTAAAATAAATTAACATCTTATGTTGTGAACTACTCCAGCAACATGGATAAACCTACAGCCAATGGTGCATACATAAAGGAACTGATAACACCACATCAACATCCTTACAAACTGCACAGGTAACACACATAATACCCACACCACAAAGAAAATGCTGTGCAAATGAATCCAAAACAAAAAATACTCGAGCAAATATCTTTTAAAAAAAATTGATTATGACCACAATGAAGAACATTAAGATGTTAATCAAGAGTCCGTCTTCGTGGTAACTCATTCCATATCCCGTTGCCCAACAACGGTTTGACATGTCACGATATTAATTGTGGTTAATTTATTCTGATTAGGAAATATCATGCACACATGCAATATGAAATTCTGACACACAATGCAACAACTTTAGGTAGACAGACAACACCTGATGATGGCCATATACAGCCAAAGCATGAAGTGAGGAAGAAGGGTGGCTCGATAATAAGATGCATTTAGCACAGAAATGTGTGTACAAAAGATATACTAAGCAACAGGTTGCTTAAATACAATAATGCCAAAAAATGTTTGACGATGGACATGTAGACCACCAATATTTTCTGTATCCCAGAATGTTACCAGCTGGCGTACCGCCATCTTATTCATTACTTTCTTGTCAGAATACAAACTGATAAACATTTCATGAACAGAAGCAAAAAATGTTATGTGAAATAATGTTCAAGAACGAACACATATTCCACCTGTGACTGCATTATGCTTGCCATCTGCAGTGTCAGCACAACCGGTCAGACCAATAACTCTGTACATATGATTAGTACAAGAAGGAATGACCACCATATACCTACAACACATTTATGATCCTATCAGAGAGGGCTGTATTATTCAGGCATCAAGCTATTGCTAGATTATTTTCAGCTATTGTTTCAATGTTCACTATGTAGCCAATCACACATTTACGCTGTCCTCAACACTGATGCCTAAATCCATTTCTATTTACACAATAAATCTAAGTTTGAAATGAATCTAGTCAACCACAACAATGACACAATGCACAGTATGCTCTTGTAACTGCAGAGAAGAGGTTAGTCATGTAGATGAGGTATTCCTCCTTGTCCACAGAGCTCCTTACAGTAACCAAGCAATTTAATAACTTCAGCAAAGACAGCTCATTCAGAGGAGCCAGGATAGCGTAGTTGGTATTGCAACTGGCTATGGGCTGGTAGACCAAGGGGTCAGAGTTCAAGTCCCAGTAGGGTCAAGAATTTTCTCTTCTCCACGTTGTCCAAACCAACTCTGGAGTCCACCAAACCTCCTATCCATTGGGTACCACTGGCTCTTTCCCCAGAAGTAAAGTGGCCAGGGTGTGAAGTTGACCACACACCTCCAGCTAGTGCTGAGGTCAAGAAAATGTGGACCTATACATCCACTCCCCATGTGCCTTCATGGCATAGTGCTTAGTTAAGTTCAGGGACAACTTTACCTTTACAGCTCATCTGGTACAGCAACTAGGTTATGGGCTGGGCAATATAGTTTAGATTCCTGGCAGGGGCTAGAGATTTTTCTCTTTTCCATGTCAGCCAGACCGGCTCTTGGGACCACCCAGCTTCCTATCCAATCAGTACCTGGGGTAAAGTGGCAGAGGCATCAAGCTGACCTCTCCCATGCAGAGCTAATTCCAAAAATGGTGCTCCTATACCTTCACTCCCTTATATGGCTTCATGTCATAATGTATAATTAAGTAGAGCGATAACTTTCTTAATTTCATAATCATAAAATTCAATTTATAGACTTTTATAATAACACTGGTCAAGCTCCTTTAGTGTATCTAGTGATCACTGTTGGCAAAATCATAATACTTAACATCAAATTTTCTGTTAAACTTTCAGCTTCTGGACAACAATGTATGACAGAAATTAAGAAGGCAAAGACAGTTTTTTCTCTTATTATCTCTACAGAAAACAAAGAGGCAAATGAGTAACGCAATTTTTCAATGTAATACCCTTGCTTCTCCAAACACACACGCCACTAGTCCACAAGCTCCTAGATGCTGCTTGAGAACAATATTTTCAGTTGCTCCTGATGAAAAATATGGACAACTTATTACAAAATGAAAATCAGCAACCATGTAATACCGTTCAGCAATACAAAAAAAAAAAAGTGAGTCACATGGGACATGATGAAGCAGCTCAAAGTTTCTAAACCATCAACCAAAATCAAACCATAGCATAATGCTTACTGATGGTGCAATCTAACAGCAGAGTCAACATGTTTATACTACAGCTGCAGGAAACACACTAAATGCACGCGAAAGTGTACTTTGCACAATATCCAGAGCATGTTCTGACACTCACAGGGTTGTGCAAGCTAACCGCATTTACTTTTCAAATTGACCTCATGGAAGCCAACACTAAAAAGTACACAGGGTCTGTAATAGTAATGACTGGTTTAGTAACTTTCTTTAAAGCAGAAGATAAAATCCAAAAATACTATTTCACCCCATAACAGCATATCTCTGACATCTACGTATAGTTCATTTTATGATTCTGTCAACTACTCAAGACTATACAGTGTCCAATGATATGATGATTTGTGAATAAAAAATTCCGAAAAGATGTGGAAGCATGTAGTCATGGTACTATTCTGGCATTTACCACTAGGAATTGTGACAACCACAAAAAACCCTCAGCCACAATAACTGGCCTTTGGGCCAAAAATGCAAGATCTCCTGATACATAGCAAGTAAAATATAATAAAAGGGGGGGGGGGCAAAGTTGTCCCTGTGCTTAACAATTAAGCACTACACCATGAAGGTATATAGGGAAGTGGATGTATAGATCCGCATTTTCTTGACCTCAGCACTAGCTGGAGGTGAGCGGTCAGCTTCACGCCCCTGCCGCTTTACTCCCGGTACCCACTGGATAGGTAGCTGGGTGGGCCCCAGAGCTGATCTGCATAATACGGAGAAGAGAAAATTCTTGAGACCCTACCTGGACTCAAACTCCGACCCGCCAATCGTTCAGCCCGTAGGCAGTCACTATACCAACTGTGCTACCCAAGCTATCTAATCTACATGATGGTGCCATTCCATCTAGGATCTTTTTAAAAGGTGTAAATTTACATGGACATTTGGAATTTGATTTCCATGCTCTTGATTTAACACACTCTTTTAGTTAACCACCTACAGTCACTGTGTTACATTTCTTCGACATCAGACACTATGCTTTGCCAAATCCAACTGAAATGCTTACTGACACTTGTAAATCCTTTGAAAATGTGACAGAGTTCAGTAACTTTATATGTTCATAACAAAAAAAATATATATATATTTATAATGCAATCAGGAACACATGTTTGGGAAACAGCCTACCATTCAGTTCAGAATTCAGAAACAGAATGTGATGATGTGACCTAGACTGAACTGATTCCATAACAGATTAACCTAATTATTTTATAATGGGATTTAGTACAACTTTATTCAACTTGTCTCATGAAGTGTTCCCCGTTCATCCTTCAAAATAAACAACACCCTATATACTAATCTGTCAATAACTGTGGGAATGAGTTATGTACTGTATTTCAGAGTTATTTCATTTTAATAAATGTCACAGGTAGTCAGACTTTGATGTTTTTACCGAAGCTGACTCCAATAGTGGCAGTTCATTACTCACTGCTTCCAGCAAATGCATTTCTGCCACTGGAAGATGCTACCAAGCAACGACTAGGGAAGACTGAGAAGACTTTGTGTGTGCTGTAGTTAGAGTGAGCTTTGGAGTGTTTAACTCAGTGAGACTGTGGTAGTTATTCGTAGTTACGTTCTGTAAGTGTTCAATAAATCTGATTATAATTCCAAAACCCATCTATAGTGACTCTATATGTGACAACTGCTAGACAGCAATTGCAAGACAGAAGGCTGCACAAAAGCCATTGTTAAGTAACAGCTCCACAAACAAGCACGTTTCCACGACAATAACTGCATACAGCAAAGAAGCAGTGTTTTCTGTGCTGTCCGTGCCTAGACAATGAGTGAGTTTGTCTATGTACATCTGACAAAGACAAAACCTATTCATAGGAGACAAACCCGTCACCTTACAAGAGAGGATGTTACATAAAGGCTATGACCGCAGGGGTTCAGTTGCAAAGAAAATGTCTCTGGTTGTGACCCTCAAGGGGTTTGGTGCCAAGACAAACTGACTAGCAGTAAACTGCCCATCTTAAAGTATCTCTGATTCTGAGTGAGTCAGTCAGATAACTGCTGGTACTCAGCTGTTGTGAGTCATTGCTGTAAGAAACTGGTAGCTTAGGCCAAGGATAGTTTGGCAACACATACAAAGGGGAATGTCTGTTGTTGGAAGCCACTACTAAGCAACAGCTAGTGGAAACATAGTAAGAACACTACTGTGTGTGTGACACGTGATCTGTCAAGTGTAATCACAAGTTGTGTTTTAAAGAGTTCAACAGAACCCATCATCAATCCAAACCCCATCTATAGTCACACTGCATACATGTGACAATATATTTCATGCCTGCTAATAAGTAGTGAATTATGCGAGAATATCCAGCACAAAGTACTTTAATCTTCGGATGTTTTGTAAGGGTATTATATTTCCAGTGAATGTTATATTCTAACGTGTCTCAAATCTGCTTAGTAAAATCTACATAATTCTGACCATCTACCTACCTACACTTGCACATCAAGTGAATGTATG